TCTCCCATGTTCCAGAAATTGCCCCAAACAAAAAACCAAGTCCACTGTAGTTTTATTCCCCTTTTCCCCAGGGATCCCAGTGCTGGGCTATCTATTGTTGAAATTCTTAAAACAGTTATTTCATGCATTTTGTCTGGTGTTTTACTTGTTTGCAGGGAGTTAGGTCCAGTCCTTTTTTTTTTTTTTTTATGTATTGGTTTTGTATGTATAGATCCAGTCTTTTTTTACTCCATCATGACCAGAAGCAAAAGTCTCAAGAGGTGATGTATGAACAGGGACTGAATGAAGTGAGCAAATAAGTGATTTGGAGACCTAAGCTAAAGCACTTCAGGCTGAATGAACAACAAAACAAAGGCCACTTTTGAAGAACATCCAGGAGCAAGAGGGACAGCGAGTAGCGAGAAGTAGGAGATGAGGTCAGGTAAAAAGACAATGGACAAATCATGTAGCATCTTGTAAACCATGGTAAGGAGCCAGGATTTTAAATGCAATGAGAATGCTATTGGAGAGTTTGCACAAGGGAAATTGATCTGGCATGTTTTAAAAGAATCACTTTGGAGAAAAAGAGGCTACAGAATAAGAACAGGAATAGGGGCATCAACTAGAAGGCTACTGCTATGGTGTTAAGTGCAAGGTGATAGCTGCCTAGCCTGCGATGGTAGCAGTGGAGCTGGTTAGAAGTGGTTACATTTATTTGCAAGAGTTGCTTACAGAATGGATGTAGAAAGGAGGAAAAATAATAACGAAGGATGACTCAGATTTGTTCTGAGCAACTAATTGAGTGTTATTCATGAACTGAAACAAGAAAGACAATGGAGAGTTGTTTTAGAAGGGAAATCAAGAGTTTCATTTTGCACATGTCAAATGGGAGATGCCCACTAAAAATCCAAGTAAAAAGATTAAGTATGCAGTTGGTTATATCAGTTTGGAGCTCAAGGAGAGGTCGAGACTGGAGATAAAATTTAGGAGCCAAGGGCACATAGCTGATCCTTAAAAGGCCTGGGGCTGGATGAGATCAGAGAGTGATTGTAGATAAGAGGGGAGCTCTGGGAGTACTGAGTCCTGGGAATCTCAACACTGACAGGTCCAGAGGAAGGGGCTGAGAGGTAGGAGGAAAACAAGGAGAGCATGGTGTTCCTCATCTTTTTCTGCTTGGTGAATTCTTCATGCTGTAAGCGCCTGCTTCCTTCCCTGATTGAGTTAGGCAGTTAGTGACTCCCTTTTCTGTGCTCTCCCAGCATTCTGCACGTGCCCTCTTGCAGCATTTATTACAAGGAATTCCCACATATTGGTCTTCCCCACTCAACTGTGTACCTCTTAAGGGCACATCCACACCCACATATTCCTCAACTAGCTTGTCTCAGTGAGTACCCAAGGCGTGTGTGAGAGTCCAAAAGAAAAAGAAAAAAAGAAAAGAAAAAAAAAAAAAAGCCCGATATCAGAAGTGGTCAGGGAAGGCTTAACAGAGAAGGTGGGATTTGAGTAGTATCTTGTTGGAAAGCATTGGATTTCAAAAAATTACAAAAATAGGAGAGAGCATGGCAGGCCAAGACAGAAGAGAACAAACACAAATTATGTCCAAGAGACAGGAATTGGCTCTATTTGGTGAACCTGCAATGTTCAGGAAGGGTGGGGGGTGGGGGGTAGGGGGGAAAGAGTGAGGTTGGAGCCAGGCTGGGAGGCAGCCAACACTAAGCTAAGGACTTGGTTCTTAAACTAGGTGCCTAGGAACACTGGTGTTCCATAATGTTTAAAATGTGACAATTTCATGGTTTCATATAACCTCAAGGAGCTTCCTCAGAGCCAAGTTTGAGAACTGTTGTTATAAATAACAAATGATATAATAACTAAAACTGTCATTTATTAAGTGAATACTGTGTGCTCAGTACTGTGCCAAATGTTCCATATGGCTTTCTCTCATTCAATCTTACAACAGTTCTGTGAGGTAGATACAAATAGTATCTCTATTTGCAGATAAGGAAATTGGGGTAAAAAGAGGTTAACTTGCCAAGGCTGCAGCTAGAAGTGCTGGAAGGAGGAGCTGGGGTTAGCTCAAACCCAGGGCATCAGAGAACAAAACCCAAGGACTTGCAAGACCCTAGACTGTTTCTTTCCCCTCCTTCCCATGGGCTGTCTGGGGCTGAAGGGGCAGGAGAAAGTCACAAGAACAAAGAAGAAAGAGGAGAAGCACCTGAGGACCCACGGAAGGTGTCTCCTCCAGACATGGGGGCGGGAGGAAGGAGGAAAGGTCACGGCCAAGGAGAGAATTAGACACGGAGCTATAGGCAGATAGAGACCAAGCAATGGAATTGGGATCCGATGTTCTTGAACGCTGAGCTGGAAACTTTTCCTCCGCCTGTGCATTTCTGCCACATGAATCATCTACACCCAGACAGACCTCATTGTTTAAGCCAAGGTCACACTTCTGCCCTCAAGAAGACTGACATGAGGATATGTTGCTGGGGGCGACCAGGGAAATGACAGGGGGAAAGGCCAGAATGACAGGGCAGCCACGTTCCTAGGCAACACATTACAGGAAACTTGCCCACAGCCCGAGCTATGCCAGCAGCCACTATGGGCCATCACGATTTCCCAAGTAGTTATTGTGGCTATGATTGGAAAGGGGTCACAGTCACATATTTAAGATAAATGTACTTTTACTGGCTGGGGTTTATGTCCTGGAATGCTGCAGTCTGGGCCAGGCCCAAGCTACAAGCAAAAGAGGCTTCATAACAAAGAAACAATGCATCATACTATATATGCACAGAACATTATTATAGTCTGCAGAGCCCTACATAATCTTTATCTCATGTGAGTTGGGCAACAAGCCTGTAAGGTAGTTGAGGAAACTGAGGCACAGAGAAATTAAGTGACTTATGCAACATTGCATGGCAAGTCAATTGCGGAACCATATGTTGTGCCTAAATCTTTGGGTTCCAAGTTAATTCAGGTTGAAACTCAAACTAACAAGTGTTTTAACAAGTGATCTGAATTTTAAAAAAGCAAGAGATGACTCCAAGGAGAAAAGGATAATATTTTATCAATTGCTATGAGTTTGAAATGTGTGGTAAACACTCTCTAGTTGTCAAAGCCTTTTCACCTACATTACTTCACAAGGCTCCTAGGGAGAAAGGTAGGGAAGTGAGTGGCCATTCACAAAGAAGCAGAGGCCCAAGAGCTCCCCCTGGAGTTTACTTCTGGTGCTCTGCTCCTCCCCTGACCCCAGGCCTGGAAGCGTTTAGCGTGGTCAAGCAATGGAAAATGGTCACAGGACAGGGGTTCCATTCACTAGATGTGATCTGTCCAAACCAGTGGCCTCTCCCTGTCTGTTCTTCAGTTCCCCACAACTTGGGCCCCAGGTTCCACCCCAATGGCCGCCCAGGCCACTTGTCCACAGCAAGACAACCGCCCTGGCCCTCCACCCTGCACTCTCACTGTGCCAGAGCTCTGTGGCTTGGCCATGCAGGCCAGGCCCACATGATACTCCGGGAATAGCTGTCACGGCCATACAGATGTGACCACACAGTCCCCCGGGATGACCCCTGGATGCCTCCACGTTGCAACTGTCTCTTTTTTTCCCTAACGTATTGATGGCTCCGGCCAGGCCCTGTTTTTTTCTGGTGCTACCTCTAGGCTCTGCCCACTGACCCTTTCTAATGCCATAAGCTACATACCTGATGGCTGAGCCGGACATCCTGCCTGGGAACCAAAGCCTGGGAGTCCAAGAGCCTACGGACAGGTCTCTGGGTGACAATTAGCCCCTCCTGAAACTTATCATTGCCTGAGTTCCCTCCCGCCCCCAAAGGGTCCCGCCAGCCTGCCTGCAAATCCTGCTGAGTAGTGCCCAGTGCCTGCGGTGGCCTCCCTGGAGTGAAGCCGGCCTCCTCTCCAGCTGTTACTTCCCTGTCACAGTGTTAGACAGGGGACTAGCAACAGCCCCGGTGTTCATTGACAGGAGAACTGACGAACAAACTGCACACTCACAATGGGCTCTGCGGCAGTGGGAATCAAACGGCACCAGCGGTTCCCATGAACATGCATGGAAAGAATGTTACTGTGTCTACACACCTTATAACAGAGTTCTCATAAAGCTCAAAAGCAAGCAAAGCAAAACAATTTGTTTAGGGATACATTCAGGGTACTGTAAATATTTTTAAAGCAAGGAAGCAATAAACATAAAATTCATGATAATGGATGCTGCGGGGGTCAGAATGGGATGGGGAGCAGCACGGTAATTGGGACTCTGGGGTTGGGAGGTGGGTTGGGGATGATTATTTTGTTGTTCTGTGAATATATGCTTACATATATGTCTGTGAATTCTTTTTTTATATATCAAATGCTGCAAGATAGTTTAAAAGATTAGATGGAGAGGTCCCAGGCTCCGTCTTATTAACTCCTTCCCATTCTGTTTATCTGGTGGCAGAAAACTGCCTTCTGGGTACCTGAACTCCATGTCCCTCTTTCCCTCTTCCCCCCTCTCCCTCTCCCGGCCCCTTGCCGCCCTCACCTTCACAGCCAAATGACCTGAAAGAATGCTCTACCCTCATCCTCATTTCCTTCCCTACCACACTCTGGCTCAGTTCCCTAAATTCTGACCCCTGTCCCATCACGCCACTGTCTCACTGGGAACTCAGACAGTGCCTGGCCCCCTACTCAGCTGGAGGTAAAAGTTGCCGAAAGAAAGAATGCATAAAGGAATGGCAGGCACTGTGCTTTGCATATGTTGTCTCATTTAATTCTTATAAGATCCTTGATCCTTGATCCTTTAAGGGAGGTACTACTTGTCTCATTTTATAGATGAGAAGAGAGAAGTAACTTACCCCAAATCACACAGCTAGCAAATATGTGTGATTTTTGACACAAAAGCAGAAGTTTGACCCTGGTTTATCACACCAGCAACCACCCCTCCCCACCTCGGGCCACCCCCCACCCCCACCCCCATGCTCATCCCCCATGAGGCCAAGGCTGGGAACTCCCGGCTGGGAACCAGGGATGGTTACCTGGAAGCATGTGGGCCCCGGCCTCCCTGCAGGGATGTCCGACTGGTAGAAAACTTTGAGCTCTGGAGTCAGGGCAATGACGGTCTTAATCACCAAGGAGATGATGTCAGACCAGACCTTCTTGATGTCAACGCCTTTGGAAGACAACCTACAAAGAATGCTAGAAAAAGTCCTTTTGCTGCCTGTGCTAGTGCTGTCTGAGTGGACAAAGTTGCCGCTGTGGATGTTCAGTGAGTAGTTGGTTAGGTGCATAAAGATGTGGTGCAGATTTTTGGAAGAAGGCTCCTGATATGGCTCTGTACAAAATCTGGAGAGTCCATCTTTGGCTATGTAAATCTCTAAGGGGTCTAAGGACTTCAGTAAGACATACAGGCGGATGTCAAACTTGAGCTTGTCAATAAGGAGAGGTTTGCAGATGTATTCCTGGACCACCGCCGGCCTGCGCTGCAGGGTCCCTGACAGGCGGATGTCACTGGGGTCTTTAATGAGGTAGATTCCGTCACCCTGACAACCTCCGTCAGGTTTCACAATAAAAGTGGGTCTCCAGGAGGGGTCACCTTCTTTCACCATTTGAACCTGGGGGAGAAAAGAAAGGTTAGCATGATGTTTTTCTCCTCTCTGGACCTCCAAGACAGGGCAGGATATTGGCAAAAGTTTAGTGAATGAGTAACAACATGAGTCTTGCCTATGTGACACTAACTGAGCGCCTGCCAGGGAGATAACACTGTGCTAGGTACCAACGCAGTAACCCAAGGCTTCCCCCCAATCCTGTTCTCCAAGAGGGAGATCGAGAACACAGTGATTTGCTGTCGTTAGACTTAGGTTCGAATTCCAGATCTTTGCCAGTTATTAGCTATAACCCTGAGCAAGTCATGTAATTGATGATGATCTATTACTGTTTAAGAGTGCCAACTATGTGCCAGGCACTATATTAGGCACTTTACGTAAGTTATCTAAGAAAACATGGTGGCTTATGATACAGAAAACAGGAGATGGTGCATCAGTTGTTAAGAGTCTGGGCATCACATCAGGCTGCCTGGTCTTGAATCCTGGCCCTACTACTTACTGTGTGACCTTGGGCAAATTACTTAAGTTATCTGTGCCTTCCTCATCTGTAAAAGAGGAGAAAGAGTGTTCTGAGAATGAATGAGATAATAAGTGCAAAGGGCAAAGCCCACAGGCCCTGACACATCCAAGACAGCCATCCAGCCTAGCTGAGGCTGTTTTTCAAAGATGGAGTAAGTATCTTGCTAGCTAACAGAGGGGCGGAACTGGGATCAGAATCCAGATCAAAGACTCTAATGGGCTTGTACCTCCCTCTGTACTGCCATATCTGAGTTCCTTATCTTAAAAATGGGGATATAAAACAAACCCTCATGGATCATTGTAAAGAAGAAATAAACTAAAAAGTGCAAAGGGCCAAGCACATACTAAACACAGAGCCAGTGCACAGAAATGCTAGTTTCCTCATTTATATCTCTTACTAGGCTCACCTAGTAGATGTAGCCAATCCTTCAGTCTATTGAGACCTTTATGAAACTAGATTCTGCCATCCATAATATTTGCTGTCCTACCAGCTCCAGGTCAGCAGGACATTCATATAATTTTCCAGGCCACTTGACCAGTCCAGACAGTCAGTCTGGATCCAGGTCTGCATAATTCATAGGCAGCCAGTTCCCTCGGACTCTTGACATATCCTTCATGCAGCCATGGGGAATGTATGGGCTGAACGCCAGGAGAGGTTTTCACAGGGAGTGAGGTGAAGGGGCTGGAGGAAATTCAGGATGGGCTTTAAGCCACCCTCTCTGCCACATCTGGCATGAAAGAGCCCACGATCAAGCCTTCCGTCCATTCTGGAGTCTGTAACTCAGAGTGCAGGCGGCATGCCCCAGCGCTGGGCTTGCCCTGGCCTCCACCTTTGCTGTGTAAGCCCAACCCAGGACATGTGCACGCTGAGTTCTACTTATCTCTCTGACCAGCCTATATTTCTAAGTGAAGCTTTTGCCAATTCCTTGGGCACTATCAGTTACTCCAGGCTTGTAAAAGATCTTTAACAATGGAGAAACACTTAAAGCCTTAATAATGGCCCACATCAATTTTTCCCCCTTGTCAGCAGGATTCGAGAATGGAACCTCACCAGAGATCAATGCAAGCCTCCCTGGGCCCTCCACCAAGCCTTTCTGACAACTGTGACCTTGACGTTGATGTGTAGTTATTTAATATTCATCCAAAGCATTCATACATTTGGCCCTTTACAGTAAATAGAAGTGTGCTGGAGAAATGGCAGTTATGGATCAGGAAGTGAAAAATGTCAGGTTTGCACCGATGGGTAATTCCTCCCTCTGGAAAGCTTTTGCAATGCTGAAGATGCTAACAGTTTAATATATTATCCGGAGCAATATTTTCTCCTTTGAATCCAGTATATGCCTTAAATAAATTAAACTGCATGGTCAATAGTCTCTGCCATTCATTGCATTACTGGATATTTCTTTTGCTCTTTGCCAGTGTAGTACCATACAAATCAGGATTATTAATACTAACAGAATCGCTGAATTTCTAGAACTGGAATGATCCTCGGAGATCAGCACAGCCCAGTCCTCTATAATTCAAATGCCGAAGCTGACGCTCTGAGAGGTGACATGACTTGCTTGGGTCCCACAACTGGCTAGGGGGATGATGAGGTTGAAAGCTGAGGTCTTTACACCCCACTGCACATTCCCTGTGTCATTTTTACCTCTGATGAAATTTTTCTGAATACTATAGGAAAGATTCTCTTAGTGGAGCAGACAGCATTGGCCTCTGTTCTCACATGAAAGAGAGTAGCCCCTGAGCATGGCCTCCTTGGAACTGGAAGCACAGACCCCGAGTTTGCCAGGGCCTTCTGTTTGGGTTCCTGGCACAGTCGATGGGAAAGCCAGATAGCTGTGCTGAATGTGCTTCCCCAGCCCCCAGATCTTTCAGCAACTTCTATTTTAAAAAGGGAGAGATTTCTAAAATTTCAAATCCATTCTCCTCTGAGGTTTCACTCAAGGGTGACCCTTTCCTCCCAGCTATTTAAAGTTATTAATGTGAAGAATTAATGCATTGGTTCTTAGCAAGAAGTCATGGGCCAGAATCTAAATATAATCTATATAACCAGTTCCCAACCCCTGAAATTCTGATTTAATAGATGTGGGGAAAGAGCTGGGCAGGTGTACTTTGGAAAAAGCATGGTGGGTGATTCTGATGTTCACTCAGTTTGAGAGCCACTGGACTAATGAGACTTAACTAAAAAGATAATCTGGGATTAACATACTAAATGAAGTTTTCTGCATCGATGTCAGCTTGAACATGAGGAAGACCTGCACTTAGGCTAAAGCTGATGGTATCTCCCATTTTTACCCAAACCTGCTGTTGGATGTGAAATCCATTATCTTGTAACTGTATGCATTGATGGCTGAAAGAGATACCATGAGGATGTGGTGGCCTGATTGCTTGGCAGTCATCTAGCCTGTTAAAAAATTTATGTGTCTTTTACCGCCCCCTAGTGGATATTTAAGAAATATAACTTTGACAACCCCCACTCCCCACATTCAAAATTCTGGTTGTTTTTAGCAGTAAGACACTCTATTAGGATGTTAAAATTGTCTTAAAGAAGCACCGCTAAAAAGCTGTGGTACTGTTAAGGTAAAATTATACTTTGGGATGAACTCATCTCTAAGATGCCAGGGCTAGCCAAGGTCACATTCAGTTTTCATACTCTGTCTTAACTACTTTCAAGGGTCCTCTTTACTATATAGATTGGCCTACCTTTTTTAATTCTCTCAGCCCATATAAACTTCTAAAATTTGGGTCAACATGAATATGAAATTCTGGAAATATATGCCATAAAAAATCAGTAATTTTTATATTCCTCATTGCACTTTTTTTTTGTATTTTCTAAACTTTCTATTAGAAAAAAATAGCAACTGCAGGCAGCAGTGAATGCCTCTAAATATAAAGATTTTCATAAGGAATAGCTCTTGGTGAACAGACAGTTGTACCTCCTTGTTCATAGCAGCATTGTTCACAATAGCCAAAGGTAGGAAAAACCCAAGTGTCTATCAGCAAAAGAAGGATTTTAAAAAATATGGTGTATACACGTGATGGAATATTAGTCAGCCATAAAAAGGAATGAAATTCTGACACCTGCTACCACATGGATGAACCTTGAGGACACTATGTTAAGTGAAGTAATAAGCCAGACATAAAAGGACAAATACTGTATGCTTCCATTTATGAGGTACACAGAGTAGTCAAATTCATAAAGACAGAAAGTAGAATGATAGTCGCCAGAGACTAGGGGAGGGAGTGTTTAATTGGTAGAGGTTCAGTTCAGAAGATGGAAAAAGTTCTGAAGATGGATGGTGGTGATGGTTGGACAACAATGTGACTGTACTTAATGTCACTGAACTGGACACTTAAAAATGATCGAGAGGGTAGTTTTATGTTATGCATATTTTCCCACAATTTTTATAAAGTTGAAAAATTTTTAAATTAAAAAATAGAAAATAAATAGCTTTTGGTGTAATAGAAAGACTATTGAAGCGAAAGACAGAAAATCTAGCTCCTACTTCACTTCAGTTGGGTGACCTTGTGAGAGTGACCTTGAAAGAGTCACCTGACCTCCTGGCCTCTGTTGTACTCACCTATAAAATAAAGAGGTCACACTAAGGTTCCTGGCTTCTGCCAGCACACAGGTTCTCACAATGATTTATCTTGACATCACCACAGTTGAAGGCTGTGTTATAAACATGTAAGTGACATTTATCGGCGGAGAGTTCATACTGAGCTGCTGTGAGCAGCTCATCGGGATAATCTACCAGAGCGGATCTGGATGGGAGATTTACGATGCACTGGAGGAAGTTGGCTGGGCATCTGGGGGAAGCAAGCTAAGATATTTTGAGAGAGAAATTCAGCAACAGGAATACCCAGCCATAAAGCACTATTAGTAGTGAGGGGCAGGTAGGAAGACAATTTCTTAAAGAACACTATCTGCAATACCCGGGAAGTCAAAGCCAGTTAGAGCAGGGTTCTATCACTCGGGTGGATGTATGCTCAGTCTTAGCAACCCAGACCCTTCATGGCACAGGCACACGCACAGGCAGATCTTAAGCAAAAACATGCCCCTGGGGAGACAAACATGTCACAAAGCACATGCTGGACGGGGTGCAGGGAACAGCCCTTTCCCCTTCCAGCTTCAGAAGACAGAGCCTCATACTCAGGGCAACTCCCTACTCCCAGCATTCAGGCAATTCCTGAGTCAACTGAAAATTAGGCTACCCAGGGCCAGACTGTGAGGTAGGCAGTTGAGGCAAAGAGGAAGATCTGAGCAGGAAGATGCTGCCACGTGGTTTTTATGAAGGCAGGAGAGAGTGGCTTATGGGAAATCTGACTGTTGAGACCTGCCGGGCCAGATCACTGCAACAATGATCCCATCAGCCCAAACCCACCCGGCACGTATTCGGGGTCAGGTTCTGTGGGAAGCACCTCATGCACACTATCTCATTCAATCCTCAACAATCCTATTTTACAGATGAGGAAATGGGGACTCGGGG